GGCTCCGCGCTGGGGAGCAGCTGCTGCCGCCCCCGGAGTTTTCCAGCTCCCGGGCCAGGTTGTGGAAGTCCGTGGACGGCTTCGCCGAGCCGCCGCCCCCCGTCGCGGGCGGGTTGCTGCCCTCGGGGGAGGGGGCCGGGTAGTGGTGGACAGGCCCGGCTTTGCAGAACTTGGGGCCGGGGCCCAAGGGCGCCTCCTGTTGCTGGTGCTGCTGGTCCTTGCCGCCGCCCCCGTGATCCTTGGTGCCCACGCCGCCGCCCTGCTCGTCTTGGGGGCTCCTGTCGGCGCCGTGAATTCTCTTGGGACAGCGGAAGCGCAGGTGCGCCACGTAGGGGAACTCAAACTGGAAACGCTGGCTGCATTCCAGGCACGCGTAAGGGGACGACCCTGCTTAGTGAGCAGACACCACACACACGCGCGCACACACGCGCACACACACGCGCACCACATGGTTACTCAGCATCGTCTCCAGGCCAGTGTGTCACCCCCCCTTCACAGGTCCACCTTCATTCCTCAGGGCCTGAGTGCCTGAGAAAAGAAGACCCCGTGCGACCGACCTGACCTTCCCTCCGGATTTGGGGGCGTGCAGCAATTAAGCCAAGCGTCCCCCCCGTTTACCCTGACCTGTCTGCCCAGCTTCATCACGGGCTAGACCTCAGAAGCTTCCCAAGAGACGCCCAGAGGGAGGGAAGGCGCGCCCCCGCCGCTCCCCGCACGGCCCCCGCGTTAGCTAAGGGCCCACGCGCGGGCCGCGAGCCAACCTACCATTCATTTTGCTGTGGGGTCTAGAGGGGCAGAGCAAGAGTAACTCAGTCAGTTCTTTCCCGTACCAAACTAGCAACTCCTCGTCTTTGGCAATCCTGCGGAGAGAGCGGTAAAACAGCTGTCCGTTTTTTACGTAGGCTTCAAGGTTCTGCTCCTCTCTATCTCGGGCTGATTGGACCAGGCGCAGCCACATGAGACCTTCTGAGGAACCATTTGCCGCTGAGGTGTCTACCTACAGTTTAGGAAAAAAGACAAAAGAATACAAGAAGGAAGGGTTTGGAGAGGGAGACTCCTGGGAGAGTGAAGCCGGGGGAGCGGGCCCTTTCCTGTGTCATTCTGTCCCAAAGAGTTATCTGAGATCAAGATTCCAGAAGCTGGGCCCAGGTGGGCTCCCAGCCTCGTGCTCGTGACCAGCAGGCCAGAGAATGATCCTTTGAAACTGCATCACTCATATCGATTATTTAAGTCGTCATTTTCACATATTGGTTGAATATCAAATGAGGAGCTTTTTCTTCCAATTCAAATTAGTGTTAACCTCTTGAGAATTGACTTCTAAATTATCCCGTAGTACAAAACTGTGGGGGAATTTTGTCTGTTTTGGAAATAAAAAGGTTAGACCTCAGAAATAATTTTGTGGCATTCACCCATCTTCCTAATTTTGGCATAAACAATGAATAATTTTTCTTTGTAAAGAAAGAATGGAAAGTAAAAGGACTTTTATTTCTAAATTCAAACATAGGAGTAAAATGATCTTTTATTGTCAAGCCATTAACACCTTTATTTAAATACAAACTCTGGGCTCCGGCTTCCTTTCCCAGAAAGGGTAAAATATTTGGGGGAATAGGCGGCCTCCTAGGTTGGGAGGCAAATGCGCCCAACACTTAGATGTACTTAAAGAAAGTATGCAAATAGCCTCAACCATCTGAAAACTCCCAGAGTTAAGTTGATCGCCAGGAAAGCCCAGAATGGAGGCCCTGATTTAGACAGAGCCGGTATTCCAAATCAAATCGTTTGTTCCAGAAAATCAGTTGACAATAATTTGAGTTTAATTTTCCTTTTCAATTGTTTGGTGTGTAAAATAGAATGACTCACATTACTGCAATTTCTATATTCAGAACTTGTCTCAGCTTGTCATTAAAATGAGTCTTAGTGTGTTTTCAACAGGACGTTACCCTCCTCCCCTGAGCAGCACTGGCCAAGACTTACCCGGAAGATATAAGGAACTGTTCTTTTGTCCGTGGACTTGAGAGCTATGAAAGCTATGCTGTCGTACAGGGAAGTGTGGCTCAGGACGCAGGGACCGAATATAGCATTCTCAGGAATGTCGCAGGTGGTGTAAACGCTGGTGAAAATATCTGTGAGACACTGCTGGACCGCCTTGGCGTCTCCATCCCACATGCCTCGCTGGATGCCTGAATCCTCCATCGCTGGAGACAGAGACGCAGGACGCCGAAGCCAGTTACATTACTCCTCTTGCCTTTATGGATCCAGACAGAACATTTTAACTACCCGACAGATTTTTCTTGAATGCGCCTGATATTTTGTATAGCTCTTATTTCAGAAATAAAGCCAATGGCACATTAAATCTGGCATATTTTGAAGAGGCCAACTAAGGAATACTTTCCTTTCCTTTTAAGAATTAATTGGAATAGTGGGAGCTCAGGGTAGACTGACTGCTTGCGAGAGAGAAAGCATAAGACTAGGAAAGGCGAGATTTTTTATTCTTTTTTCAGTACCTTGGGGGTGGACGGGGTGGGGTCTGGGAAGGGTGAGGGTAGGGGCTAGTATTTTTTCCTAGCCTATAGACTTTCTTGACTGAAAGGAACTTCTAACTCTTGGGAGAAAGCTCCTTCCTTCCGGGCGGATTTTATTTGATTTTCTTCCAAAGAGGGGAGCCGCATTAGCGAACAGGTGGAGACAGCGGACCATGGCGAATGGATTTCAAGTGGAGTGTCAGGGCCGCTGATTCCCTGTCAGCTAACCTTTCTCCGCAGCCTGCGAGAGGGGATGTATGTGTGCTCATTACCATAATCCAACGCTGTCCCTCCGAGGCTTTAATTAAAAGCAGCAAGCAGAGGTAATTATTTTTTTCTCGACATGCTTATTTATGGAGGAGGGTGAATCCCAGTTACCTTGTTATACAAGGGAGTGGGTTGAGTCGCGTGTGCCGCATGAAGGGAGAAGGTACAGGGCAGGCCCGAGGTGTCCCCTGTCCGAAACACCGCGTGTGTCACGCCTGGTGAAGCCTCGCTCCCCCAGATGCCACCCTGTCGGGGCCGGAGGGGGCAGCCCGCCAGCTAGACCTCGGTGGACTCTGCAGCTGTTTAATCCGCGCGGTTTAGAAAGTAAGGCCCCGATGGAGGGCTCCCTATTAAGCTGTCATTTGACATTTTTCTTCCTTTGCCACTGGACACTGCCTACAAGATTTATCATTTAAAAAAATAATAATAAAACCGTTATTTAAAAATTAAACCGGCTTTGATCTGACTGCGTCGGTCAGTCTTTCTGATAGATTCAAAGATCCCCCCAAGTGGGGTTTTCCCTAATAACGACACCACGGGCAGTAATTTGTGTATATTTTGTATAATTTAAGTAGCAAGAAAGAGTAGACCTGTTTCTTTCCCCAGAAGCTGTTCATTACAGAATAATATTAGTAATGCCCATTTTTATCTTAATGTCTGTTAACCAATTAACCTTGCAAATGTGATTACAAGGTAGTGCTTTTTTCCCTTCCCAGCTAACAGCGGGAAACTTAGGTCGGCCTCTTTTCTTTTCATTCGTTCGGCTGCAACCCCAAATGTCAAGCATGGGGCTGTATCTGCCAGGCAGACAGAAGACAAATATCCATAAAGTAGAAACTTACTTTATGGCACAGCATCTATCCCTGGGCATTTTTACCCCACACAAGAGAACCTTTCTAATCTCCAGTGGAAATTTTCAATATATATATATATGCTTAAAATGCTCCAGACCCTCATGTCTGCGTTTCAACGGCACTCTATTCTCTCCTTTTCAATTTCCCCAATCCGGCGTTTCATGCCCAATCTCTCTCTTCCTTTTAAAAGTCTCTTTCACACAAGCGTTTCATTGTGCGGGGAGGTCGCCGCGTCCCGTCGGGCAACGGCAGGGGCGCAATCGTTAAAACGCAGGGCCACCTAACAACGCGGCGAAGGGGTCCTCGCCACCCCGCGCTGGCGGGGGTCCCCGTCGCCGCGCCGCGAGCACCCAGCCGGTGGGGGTCC